GAAATCTGCTTTATACATGGGCAACAGCTCCTGTGTGCTTTAGTTCTTTAGCAAGTGCTAACTTCCCTCTGATGCTAGAGGCAACATCTTCGTCAGTTCGTGCTGGCGCTCTTTATGAGTTTTTATTAGCGAGGTAAATAACCTTGAGATTGAGCTGCTCGCCGTACATTTTCTTGTCGTGTAAAAGTATTCTATTCTAGTAGGTAATCAAGCAGAGCCTGTTGTCCTCTGCTGAGATGTGGGTGAGACTTGCTAGTACAAAAAAATAAGTTCTATGTTACTTTCGATTTCCCAAAAAAACGGCCATATAAACGTGGCGTTGTCTTTATTACAGCTCTACGACCCAAAAAATTAGTTTTCTCCTCTTTAATGAAACATTGAATCTATTGGAGCTACAGTTAACTTTTTCATTACATGCTGAGAGCCAGAACTGAAAAAATTAAAAAATGTTTGACCTAAGTTTTTCTCTAAAAAAAAAAAGGTTTTAAAAACATGTGAAAATATGAGGTAAATTTTATTTTTTATTTATAGACTTGTGCGTAGTAATAACTTTTTTTCTAACATATTATATTCGTATTTCCTTTATTTATTATTATGTGGTTTATATTACTCCTTTCGAATATTTTACGCATATTTATTATATATAGATTATTCCTATTTACTTTTTTCTATTTTTACCATATTAATTCATATATATTTACTATGTAAACATTTATATTTTTTTTAAATAATTCTCTTTTTATTATTATTACACTTTTATAAGTACTTACTAAGTAAAATGTTTTATATAAATTCTGTTTTTTTAAATTAGTATTACTTAAAATTTAATCTTAATATATATGATTACTTTTTTTTTTGTTGATATTAACTTTTATAACACCTCTTGTGACCGCTCCTAAACTCTATCGCCAATAGAGCTTCCATATCCTTTACTTTGACCCACAACCAAGCTATCCTGCCACGCTAGTATGCCTTGTGCCCCCGGCCAATCATAACATACGCACCTGCTGTCTAAACCAATTACTCATTAAAAGTAGCCCCTTCACTGCACTACACTCAACACGGCCTGCCCACTCCTGAGGACGGACGCCCCGTGTATTATTCCATAACGTTACTTTACATCCATTGCTACACCATCAATGAAGGACCTATGGCTTCTTCAGCACATCTATCAAAAACTCGCAAAAAAAGCCAGTGTACCAACCATCGGGTCCACGCTCCTTAGCCCCCACCCCCTCAATGACCACTTAGAATTTCGGTTCTATATATAATAAGGATGTGCCAGGTATCACCAGTTTCAAATAATAGATTATTTAAAAAATATTAAAAGATAAAATATTTCTAAAAATTTTAATCTCGAAATTTATATAAAAAAGTTAATATCTTAAAGTCTAGCATCTTTATCTCAACTTGAAAGGAATCATCAACTAGCCTCGGTAAGAACACCATTTTCCCACTCCAAAGGAGCTATCTTAATAATTAAGCCCTCCAAAAAACATACATAAAGAGAGTGGAGACTTCCTTTCTCAATGCCCCCCCATGTGCCACCGTTTTCTTTTTTTTCAACACCTTCAACGCTCGTCTTTCTCGTTCACTGCCATGTAGACAAAGCGATCTAGACTATTTTATTCAGTCTTAAGTTAAAGTTATGTAGGTAGAAAGATTAGGGCTTCACCTCAGGCCGTGCTAGTTGGCCTCTATCTGGGTGACCTGGCTCTTAGCTATCCTGCCTGCTTTCCTTCAACGTTAGACACTCAACCCCCCGCCAGGTTACTGTTATTAAACGACCAAAAAAGTTCCGCCCTATAGTAAAAATGCTTCGTTGGATTCTACCTCTAGTTCCAAATGGCTGACTTCAAACTCCCCCCGAGGACGCGGTACCTGTCAGTTATCTTTTCCATCCAACGGAAGACTGCACGTTTAATGTAGTTACTATGCTGAAAGGTACTGGTTAATAGCCCCTTACGTCAAACTGCTTCACTCGGCTGGCGCTGGAATTATACGGTAGGCTCTCTAATTAATAATTCTATTTCCAAGTAAAGGATCAAACTCTGTAACGCATGTATGGCGTTAGCGTGCTGATCAGGATTACAGTGCTCCTTGGAGGGTCCTAGGGAAGAATGGTCTAACCTAAGGTTAATAATCCGCCACGGTCGACTAACTTGCTTTTAAAAATAAGAAAACACAAGCACTTGAGATCTTTCCATTTCTCAGTTCATTAAGGATCATGCCGACTAGTATTAGGCTAGAAATGGTCTACACCTTACCCGTTAGATTAAGAGCTGGTCTCTCCATAACCAAATCGCCGTTGATATTATGGTCTAACGGATCCGTTTTCTTCTTGAACAGCAGTGTAGGTTGATCTTTTGTCCTTGGGTAGTTAAAGGCTAAGTGGTAGCAATGCCTGCATCTTGGGTATATAGGCAGCGTCTGAAAGCCTGTGGTGTCCTCTTGAACTATTTTATTTTTGTCTTATTACCTTCCGAACTTCGAGGGTTGCTATCATTAGTAATATTAAATATCACTCTTTGCATCGATCCCTAGAGGTTTAGGATCAGCTTGGAACCAGTTCTAAAATAGTACTGTAGGCTGGTATTATGCTGAAATTGCATTAGTATCATAGTGAGAAACTTTCTAGCTATCTCAGAAAATTGTTCCTTAGATTAACTCGGTTTGGCATACTTTTTTTGCTCAAGACCGGGCTGGGGTACTTGTATAGTTCCTTGTGGAGAGCTAAAGGGTGCTTATTCTCGTAAATGGTAGCGTTCTAATATAGTACTAGGAAAGTACAGTTTACCAATATAGTCAGTTACTAGTATATACCCTGTGAACGTCCTTGATCCCGACCTAATACGCCTCTGCAACCCCTCAGTTATTTGGGAAAGTCACGATAACCCTTTGGGAGAAGCCACCAGTGAGAAATAATACCATAACCTCCTAAGGGCTAAATTAGATAGTTTAAAGCGCTTCTAAATTTGGACATTAGTATGCCAGGGTTTAAAAATAAAAGATAAATACATTCTAGAAAGACATGCCGTTTATGCCCTTTGGCTTCATGTATAAATATGGTGCCCCTCTTTTATAATTAAGGTGTATCTGTAACCCTTGTACTAACACAATTAAAATACTAACTCGCCCTTAAATTAAATAAATGACTTTCACCTTAAGCATCTTCGGAGATATTTTACTATCATTAACAGTACAAATTCGGACTATAATACTACACTTTAAAGCTGCCTTACCATGACCAGCGGGGTAGTCAAAATAAAAGTAGCGTTAACATGGCAAACATATAATATGTGGTGTCGGGAAGAAGGATGATTAATATAACGTTGTTGACTGACATTGAGATTAATTACAAATAGCTTTTTTATTTATTATGGTAGTAGTTCAAAGTAAAACACATTATGTGCCTACCAAGTCCCTATCAAAGATAAGGAAAAATAACGGTTATTTCTAGTTTCATCTTAAAAAAGTAAGAAGTTTCAATAAATAAGCTAGTACTAATTTTATATAAAGTAACAGAGGTTTTTTATAAACTGCACTACCTTAACGAACTGGCAGTGTTGGTTCTTTTAGTAACCAATTAGTGCATAATTCATTGTTAAAGTTCTTAACCGATAGTAATTTTTCTTTATAAGTACATTGGTCGTTGTAAAATAAAAGCTTATTTTGATAATGAATACGCGAGCAACAATGAATAGTATGATCGAGCGTAATATCACTGTAGCAATTAAAGTCGTTAATTTAAATCAAAATTTTATCGAACAATTACTTACATCTTCTTTAAAGATTCATTAAAAGCGTCATGTCCAATATTTTTAATTTTATTAAGTCGCAGATCTCTATTGTATTATCTTTAATTTTCAAAAGTTTCATTTTGGAGGCAATATTTATAATAATAAATAGTATTATTAAGAATATTTTACAAATAAGTCAATGCGTTAAGTTTGCTAAAAGAGGTTGGGGGAACAACTTTGAGACGAGTTCCAGAAAGATCTCTGTACGCCATGTATCAAAATTAAGTAAAACTAATTACAATTTATGCAACAGTAGCATTTTTGTTCAATGATGTATTAAAAAGTTCTTAAATGATGAAAAGAATATTAGACACTTACAAATATTGAAGACTAACAAGCTTCCTAAACCAGATGGGTTTAATCGATTTGAGAGGGTTAGCATGCATTAATCTATATTTAATAAATCATGATATTTATAAAATTAATAGTTTTATCCTTAGTCCTTTGTATAATAATGCTAAAATATACGCAACTATTATATAAACTTCGATAAAATTTCTTATGGGAAAAAATTTTAGTAAGCCTCTTTCATGAACAAATATTAAAAAATAAAAAATAAAAATAACTGTTTAATTCAATAAACTTACAAATATTTTAAATTTACTAAATTTCTGAACGCATCATCACTTATTGAGGTTATTTTATTGTTTTCAAGAATTCTAAAAAATAGTAGATTACTTTAATTAAAAATAATATTAGCAATGTGACTGTGTCATAGGATGGAGTACAAGAGGAGGAGCCATCAACCTATCATATTCAGACTCTAAGGAGGGGTAGAAAAGAGAAAATCGAATGCGGGACAAAACACGTGCATATGCGTAACACGTGACTATATTCGCGGGAAGAGCACACGGTACTATAAAACCGCGTGGTATGAGCACATGGCATAGCCAGTTGGCAGTGAGGAAGATTCCAAATATAACGTGGTTAAAAAGCGGTATTTCTCGGGGATTAATAAACCATAATAAAAGAAGCATAATTAATTAGGCGTTTTACAAAGAGTAACCAGTAAGTAACCGCTTACAAAAAAAAACTAATGTATATAATTAACGAAGGCAAGGGTGGAAAAACCTCACTACGAAAAACCAATCCGCTAAAACATGAGTACCTCACTCCTACCCTGCTCCGATGTGATTTTATTACTCAAAATTTTATTATATTATCCGAATAGCTCACAATTAAACTAAGCTACTATATAGTTACAAGTATTCAAGGTTCTTAAGGTCTGAAAAAACATAGCTGTCAATCCACGGGATCTTGTTTTCCCCTAAATCGCTAAAGAGAAAAAAATAACTAGAAACACAGTAATATTGAAAATGACGTTAACATTTACAGAGATATGAGCAAAGTAAGATGGGCAAATGCTTCCGAGGAAAGATAAGTTATTTTATTTCCCCGAAGGCTCCTATGATAAAAAGCAGTGTTATTTGTGGTGTTATTATGAAATTAAGTAAAAAATGCTCTTATCTAGTTATAGTAAACAAAGCTTATAAGTATGTTTCAAAAAGCCAACGTTAAAAATAATAACAATAAAAAAAAGATAATTGAAATAGATAATAGAACAGGCTGAAAATAATATTTAATGAAAAGTTTACACAGATTTCAAGGATGGAGAAAGAATTTGATTATCCGGTGGGTAAAATGTTAATGAACATCGTCGCATGGTGCTATTATTAACGATATATCGTTGATAAGGAAAAAAATATATTTTTTTTAATAATGTTGTAAAAGTTTCGGCCTTGAAAAGAGAACTCTACTTTAGTTATGAAACTTGTAAATTTTGCTGGGCGGATATTGCGAAATATCGTACAAAGTAGTTACAACAAAATGAACAATAAAGCCTTTGCAAATACTCTAATTTGCGATCATTTTCTATGTTATATATAGTAAAATAAAGTCAAATGGTTCACATACATGAGGTGGTCACTTGTAAAATTTAAACAAGAACGTAAAGCAATAACTCTCTTCGAAAGAAACGCTAAAATGAAAAGAAAAAAATATAGAGTCATTATGGAAGGTCTAAAAATTATAGAATGAGGAAATAAAGGCGGATCAATAATTACCAATGTATACCATTCTTCAAGTGAATGCATGTACATATTTGTTTTTTTTGTTTAAAACTCTTTGCTTAGGGCCTCCAGTTAAAACCACTTAATTAAGATAATCCAAATTTTTTAACTTACGGTTATTATCCTCATAACGCTTAATTTTTATTTGGTAAAATTGTAGCGTTCATATAATTTTGAAAAAAAAATTAAAAATAAAAACAACTTTGTTCCACTATGTTGTAGGTGCCTTTGTTATCAAAATTTTTAACCTGTACCTTCTTTTATTTTTATTATAATTGGCTTTCTAATATAGTGCAACATATTTATCTACCTAAAAGTATGCTCTCTGCTAATGTTTTAATAAGATATACATATATATCAGAACTTACACAATAAGTTTTAGTAAGCCTTTTGCTTATATATTAATAATTGAGAACAAAAACGTAATACATTATTATAGGTAGAAGGCGTTAACAAGAAGTTATTGCGCATTTTTATTTTATTCAACCTCGAGTTTGGTTACAATTCCTAGTAGAATAATGCTAGAGCTATTCAAGTAGCACCATTGGTCAGTCAAGATTTTTGGAAAAACACAAATAGACCGTTGTAGCTCTTTACTCTAGCGCAGTTCTTAATTTTTTTAAAATTTTTAGTCACTTTGACCATATTAGGGCACCTGCTAGTCCATTACATAGCAGCTCACAAATTTGAGGCTCGGCCATGCATTAAGTTGACCAGTTTTAAATCTATACCTTTGTACATGGTAAAACAAGGTTTAGTAATCCATAATGAAGAAGCTAAATCTGGTTTTAAAAGATCTTTTTAATATTTATATCAGTATTCCTGATACGCGAATTTTAAAAAACGGCCTTTAATACTATAATTAACAAAGTAAAGGTTCTTTTCCATTTAGTATTAATTTCTACAAATTAATAATAAAGCATTAACAATTCTAAAATTTGGTATAGAATAATAAATTAGTCTCACTATAAACTACCACAAAATAAAAAAAGTAAATATTGGAATGTGTGTTACATTAACCAAATGCCTATGCGAACGTACTAAGTTTATGTCTTGGAGTGATCAAACTCATTAATGTTAAAAATTTAAATGGCTTCAAAATTCTATAGCTTTCAGTATGTTTGCAAATAAAGAATTTTTGTAAGTACCCAAAATAATCGTTAGAAAATATACATATAAATTTTTTTTTTTAAAAATTAAATTAGCTCATTAAGACCAACCGATTAAAGGTTCCATACAAACATTAACTATTCAAAAGCGGTTGAACCATTTCAGTAACACAGTGGAGTTGCAGTAGCTTTAGACCAAATGAGGACGTGAGTTATAGAGGGTAACATGATGACATGACCACCGGTCTGATGAGCCTACTTTCTTTTGCCTGCACAATGACGATGTCAGACGCAGAAGAACAGCCTCCATGACTTACGCGAAAAACAGACTTATTTAGGACCTCTAGGATAGGGTTTTGTAATCTTTTAACATTAAAGATAATTTTTGGTATTTTTAGACTAATCAAAAGCTCAAGATTTACTTGAATGAAATAAGATAGCGGGCCCTACTTAAATTTCGACATGCCTGCTGTTATATATTCCGTTGAGCAAAGGTCCGTCAATATACTGTCATTATTAAAGCTCTCACCTTGAACTGCCCATAGCAGACTTGTAAAAGTGGTTAGGTTTTTTATACAATTTGTGGTTAAACATTTACTCGCTTTTAAATGTAGTTAATCTTTAACCTGTAAGTTTTAGGGTTCATTATTTTAAACAAAATATGCGTTTTTCAGTGCTTTTGTATCAAAGTATTTGACTAACCCAATCTCTATATGCTCTTTATGTTTTAATAGGAAAAAGTAACTAAACGAACAGGTTTTCAGTATCTTAACTTTAAAATGGTAGCAGGTAAACAAAATATACCGAAACTTAGGACCATACACTCCTTTAGTTCGCAAATTTTTAGTGTACGACAATAATTATAAAAGAAAGGTCCGATGATTGAGCATTGGGATATATACGAACTCCACTGATAATTATTTCAAATATACATATAAACCGAGTTACTCAGATAAAGGGACATCCTTGCTATAAAAACATTTATTTCATAAATGCGGCAACAACCCGTGATCATAATGTAATAAAAACCAATACTTTATTACATGAAAAAACTTCTGGAAAATTACGTGCGATAATAGAGACTAACTAATGTCACTTCAGGTCCCTCGGTAACTAAACACGAAATATAGGACACCGAGAAGTAAAAGCAATATTTAATTTCTGACACCGTAAGCGCTTCGTTAAACACTTCTAGCCCTTCTACACCAAGGACAGTTAAAATTAATAATAATAATAACTTTTAAAATAACAAGGAATAAACAGTTCCGAATATCAAAAAAAAAAAAAAAAAAAAAGGATGCTAGCTGTTACCGGTTACAGTTTACACGCGCATCTAACGGTTAAATATCTGATTCGCATCTTTGAAAGCCTTTTTAGTTGAAGTTTAGCTAACTCGAAAATTTTTTAAAGTCATGTGATGCCCTTATCACGTAATTCTTAGGCAACTTTCTTACATTATCATAAAAATTTAGGGTCTTACTTTTACTGAAATGAAGTAGTCCTTGTTTGTTATATAAGTTCACTTTAAGGTAACATTTTTTCATTATTTAAATAGTTTCGGCACCAATCACATACTAAGAATGTTGCCACGAAGGCAAGATTATATTATTCAATTGTATTAAATACTTTGAATCGTTCATAACTCCTAAAGTTATTCAAAAAAATACTTTGGTTGAATCTAAATTCTGCTTGCACAATTTTTCATTCCGGTAGAAATTTCTAATTTTTCCCAGGATGTGTCTTAGGCGATTTAAAAGTGTCAAACCTCTTTAAGCCATTTTTAGGAATTAAAGATCTGTTCACTCCTGTACCGCTTTCTCTTTATTTTGGGATGGCGTTTAGTAAACCGTTATGGAAAAGTTTATATTTTTCGCTTCTTCAACGTTTGCCTTTCGCTTTGCGCCCAACCTTTTTTAGTACGGAAAGAGCTGCCTTCCCACACGAATGTTTTAGTATCAGCAAAAAAGCTTTCCTTCTTTGACGCCTATCATTGGTTAGGTAAATTCTTGAGGGCACTGTTAAAGTGTCCATAGATTGTCACTTTGCTTATGAGGAATAAGACCCTTCATCTTTTCTGCGGGTTGAATTTGTAAATGTTGTAGTGACACCTGTTCAATATGGGTGTTAAAAAAAACCCTTCCTCTTGCTCAGAAGTGGTAAAATGAAAAACACGCAGTTTACATATTTGGATTTTTGTTTTTACATTTTGCTTAATTAATGCGTTTACATTGGAGGTAAAAATCTAGTAGGATTACTATCATGTGCATGTATTAAAACCCTAATTTTATAATAAAGTAAAAAGCTTACTCTTTCTAAATACTGGCCCCTTGTACCTCGTTTTTTTTCCGGCGGAGGCCTTTAGTAGGTTAGGTAAACTGTAATACTTTTAACAAGGAGTTTTAGAACTTTTTTATTCAAACTGGTAGGAAAAATTTCAACCAATCTGACTTGATATCATATCATAGTTTTAAGTTCACTATATTATTTAACCTTGTTTTGGTTAAAAGCCTTATCCTATATAGGTGAGTCTTTAGAACTTCAATACATCAAAAACTCTATACTTTTTTTTAATTAAAATTACAACTTGATGCTTTATATATTTGTCAATAAATTCTTATCTTTACTCCCTTGTACTTTAATCTGTCATCTAAAAATTATAATTTTTAACCAAAACAGTGACTATATTCGCTAAAATTTAAAAATTTTGCTTCAAGTTTATTCGCTGTTAAGTTAATCTAGAACTCTACAAGCCCCCTCATTAGAAACCCTCTAGATCCTAGAAACACAAGCACTTGACCCATTAACAACTGCATTACGCATCCACAATTAGTTAAATTTATCTTGTAAAGATCTTCCTGTAAAAATTTAAAAACGTCTATAAGCTGGTAAACAATTTAATCAAGAAAACCCTCATAAAAATTTTATTAATAAAATACCCTTCAGCATGAGTATCAAACGTGCTTCACTAAGCAAAATCACTTGTTCCTCGGAGGGTTATTGCTGCGTCCTCCACCACTCGTGGAACCCTTTTTTGTGGATGGCCATCCACCTGTTATACATACCACCATAAAATGAATTATACTCAATTAATAAGAATTAGAAAATTACAGAACTTAAACGTTGATTTTATGGTTATAATAACTCCAAAAATCCATTCTACAAAGTTTTGGCAGTTGTAATACAAACCCATTAATCATACTCTAGTTCATAACCGCTAAGCTTTGGTCTTATAGCTCACGCAACTCAGCGTTATAAAAGCAGCATATAATGCTCATAAGATTTCGACTGTGTTCAAAATGAGACCACTTTTAAATAAAGAGAGTAAGGCCTAGACTGGTAAGAGTTACTTCATCTCAAAAAACAACACTTTGGCTACAGCTCTTTTGATCATGTAAAACATGAATGGAGAACAATAGTTAACCTGCATTTCCAGGCCCTTGATGTTTCCCAGCACCCGGTCTCTCTACATATAAAGGGTGAGAGTTAGCTGTAAAATTGTGACAAAAGCGTTGAACCACACAGGCAGACGCCAAGAAAACAACGTGCAATAAATCGAGAATTTAAAAAACCCACCACCTCCCTCCGGCATCTCCACAAGTTAAGCAAAGCTATGATATATAGGAGGGTACGGAAGGTTGATCCTTTTATATGCTATGTTAACTTTTTAAATTTTTTTAAATGACATGCAATAAATGCTATAAAAGTTAATTTAATCACGATTGCACGTTGTACAAATAAAGTTAAAATTCGAGGGTTTTCCGGTTTTAATACAAAAAAAGATTTGTAGTAATACTTTTTGTATTTATTATAATATGATTCTAGTA